ATGCTAGACTTAGATATTGGGAAATTCTATGTAATTGTATAAATATATAGTTTCAAGAATCTTAATAAAGTACTAGCTTAACTGCTTAAGGTTAAAAAAAAAAAAAAAAAAAAAAAAGTTAGGCTATGCAAATAAAATTAATTGTTTCTTGTAATATATTAACATCAAAAAAACACACAGCACCTAGCTGTTTTTGTACAAGTACAAAAGATGTTATATAAATTTTTTTATATAAATTAACTGCAGTTCATACAATAAATTGGACAACTTTATGCAGTATATACATATCAGATATATTGCATAGTACGTATGTAAGTATATATGTACGTACATATATATCAGTCACATGATTTGTCACACAGATCATTTTTAATATGTGGTCAAATGATCGATGCACCTAAATTTTATATGTAAAATTTGGGCAAGTTTTGCTTTTTATGCTTATTTAACAACAAAGAAGTTGTCTGTTTATTTTCTAGGAATCATTTTGCAAATTCTCTAGCATTTGAAGGTTCATATTATAAAATTTTAAAAGTGGTTAATAATAAAATTGAGAAAAATCATGATTACGAAGTTGGGCAATTTTTTTACAATTTTTACTGTTTGTTTATATGTAATAACAAGTGATGTACATCATTTATCCAAAATAAGGAGTTTGCTAAAGCGGGGTAACTATTGAGCTGACATTCTGGAGGGGTCGTACAGATCAATTGACCATCAACCAACCACAGCCAATTAATGCACTAATATATCTAATCGACCAGTTGATCAAAATTGATATAGACGACAAAATTTTTTTTTAATTGTTGGGCATCAACAAATCTTACATACTTGAAACTTTCGTAATTACTGGCTTGAAGTTTTCTTGCAAACATTACTTTAAAAATATCCTGTGGCAAGCTGGTAGGTCTTGGGTGTTATAAACAAAAAAAAATAAAAATAAAAATAAATAATTTGAAAACTCATACTAAAATCTTTATAGCAATGACTTTAATTCGATATTAAAAGACTCGGCAAGCAGCAAACGTATACCATATATCTTGCAATTAGTAAAGTGGCAAGTTCTGGTTAAAAAAAAAAACAAAATCCTGTAACAACAGCAAACAAGTAGCTTCTGGCTATTAAAAGGAAACCCTGCAAGCGGTTAAATTAATAAAATAAAATAAAAAAAAAAAAAAAACTTACAGTACAATAGACTTTGGTTAACTATAACTTCACGATCACTGCCAGTCATGTTAGCTATCTGAGAATGTTTTTTTAACATGTATAAAACATTTGAGCTTTCTATCGAAGACTTTGATAAGCAGTGGATTCTTGTCAATAATATTTGGACAAGATTTAATAAATACAAATTAGACAATGGTAATGAGTGTAAAACTTTCGTTTGTAGACTTTCAAAGTCTAAAGAATCAAGTGAAAGAAAGGAAAACATTCCTTCTGAAAAACTTCGTGTAACCTGAAAAAAACCCACTATTGATTGTGAAGCTAAAATTAGAATAACATGGGTTAGCAGCTTCAAATATGGTTAGAATTGAGAGGGTAAGCAAAAATAACATGATCCAAAATGTTAATATAATGTTTTTTAGTTTTTTTTTTTTTTTTAAAAAAAAACATTTGTAGATGAGTGGTACTCCTGATCATAGCCACTCAATAGAAGAAAATGATATGTGTAAACGGTCAAAATTTATTAAGGATATGGTGGGTAATGAGGCGATTAAGAATTACAAACCCCCAATAATCACAGATGTTATTAGAAAAGAAGTTTCTAAACTATATGAGGATTCAGGTGTGGAATATTTGAAAACTAAAAAGGTTGCTAATATCAAACAGAAGCTCGTTGGTCCGATGAATTTGCATCTTGTTGGAGGTACAGATTTACAATCCAATATTTTAAGTACAAACGAATTTTTGTTAAAAAACAATTATCAGGTTGAGTCTTTTCAAAAGTGAGGATCATCTATGCGTTTTCAAGGCCTATGTTTTGCAAATATTTGCCAGATAGAAAATTTAATTAATTATGGTTGGTTAATGTTAATGGATTCTACACATAATACTAATAAGTATGGGTAGCATCTATTTACTTTATACATTCATGACGGTTGTGGTTGCTGAAATGTCGGTGCTCATTTTTTTGTTAATAAGGAAACAAGTGAGGCCGTCGCAGCTGCTTTAAAAATTATTCGAACCTTTGCTCCACGTTGGAATCCATGATACATGCTCTTTGATCAAAGCAGTGTAGAGTCTGACGGTATTGTGTTAACTTTTCCAGGTCCTTTTGTAGGTAGAAAGAGAATATAATTTAAACTTTTATTTTTTTTATTTTTTTTTATTTTATTATCTCTTTTTTTTATCTTTTTTTTTTTATCTTTTTTTTTTATTTTTATTTTTTTATCTTTTTTTTTTTTATCCTTTTTTTTTTTTTTTTTTTTTTTTTTTTTTTTTTTTTTTTTTTTTTTTTTTTTTTTTTTTTTTTTTTTTTTTTTTT